TTTTTTGTATATTTCTTTGCCGTTGTTTTGCACAACCACAACGTGAAACTTCCAGAAACTTCTTAGTTAAACGTTTTATGGAGGAAATGTCGTACGTTCTCGTTCATTTTTTATCACTGCCGCTCATTTTCACCTTGCGTTGGTAGCCGCTAGCATTTCTCATTTTGTCACCGCCGTCACAAAATTTTCATGTTCTTCTTTCAAAAAGAAGTGTCTCCTTTGTTTTTTATCTATCGCTCTAGATCTCTGTGGCCCTTTTTCTCGTTGAGCTTCGCTGGCCTGCCGCCTACTTTCTCTTTTTCTCTGTTTCTCTTGCTCTATATTCCAATTTGTGGACATGACAATTAATCTAAGCTTAATACTTTAAGAAAACACGGATACAGAGACAATTTCCGCTTTCCGTTTTCGTCTTCATTGACTCTTTAGTTGTCTCTGCTTTACAAGACGCGGGTGGCTACGCGATTTCCCGTCAAAATAACCTCGAGTTGCATTTGGGTTGCCATACCTGTTGATTGAGTTATTTTACATTGGTATGCCTGTGGTGCGGACGGACGGTGGGGCGGTCGGTCAGTGTGCGGTCACGTGATTACCAAATTTTCTCGGATGGGTAGCTGACCACATTTTCTTACCTATGGTGCTCCGCTGCGCGCGCTTCGCTCGCGAGAGCTCCGCTATGACGATATACCTTTGCATTAATTTCTTTATTGAAGTGGACCAATTGATCATAGTACCTTAAACATAGATAGCAACTCAACTACAGTACTGTACTGTATTCAACAATGTGTGACGCAAATTAAATGCCGTTCGTCAAGTCACTTTTTTTAATGTAAAAATGTAAAAATTTCTGGGTGGCAATCTTTCTCATTTCCGGTCTCGGTTGGGTGGTGGAATTTAATTACAAGTGTCTGTTTAATACAGGTTGGCAACAATAGAAGTGACCATTTCAGGTACTTTTTAGGTGTCCGCGTTCGCTTAATAGAAGTGTCTGCGTCCGCTTAATAGAGGTGTCCGCTTAATAAAGGTTTCATTTAAAGTAAATAAGGGAAATAAATTTGGGGACTTCGGCTACTGTCCGCTTAATAGAGGGTTTCCCCTTTATACGGTGTCCTCTTAATACAGGTTTCACTATATTTAAAACTTTTCGAAGAACATTCGCTGCGTGAATTATGAAAAGACCTCTTTGGTTAGAATAGTTAAACTATATCTTATTAATCAAGGGGTTGGAAAATAGGTGAAATATGCCCCCAAACTAAGTCATACCCCCCTCTCATTAAGCAAAAATCAATTTCAACCCCCTCACATAATGATAATATTGAGGCTAACCCCCTTGAAAAAGTCTTCTCCCGTTGATACCCTCATGCCTAGTTTACTTGTTGGATTTCTTCCTCCGGTACAAACATCACTTCAAATGACTCTTCGACGTATGTATGTATGGACGTTCCGGCCAACCGGACTAAAGTTACTTACCGGGTAAGTCTAGGCAAGCCTATTGTGCCTATTGAAAAGCCCCTTTGGGGAGGTAACAATAAAGTATGTGTGTATTGTAGTAGAGAGACACTCATTAGTAAACCTATACCGAATTAGTCCGCAGGAAGACAGTTATTAGTATGGAGGAACGCATTTTTACCTAGCTAGCTAGACACTGACAAGGCACATGCATCATAAGTATGCAGAAAGGCAATGACTAGGCACTTGATTAGTATGCAGGATTAGGCAATGACTACGCACTTGCTTAGGCACTGGCTAGGCACCAAACAGGCGTAGAAACAACCTAGTAGACTACTTAAGTGTAAAGCTTTTGATCCTGACTAAGAAAAAATCCTACTATTTTTCGAGATAATCGAAATATCGACTTGTCAACATCCGGGTATGATCAATTTATAATTTCGGTTATCAAGGCCAAGACTACTAGAAGAAGCATCCTTTTTTAGTCTGTTTAGCAAAACGCGCGACAGCATGAAATGGCTTTGCGTGTAAGTGAGGGCGCGAGACAGAAAGGCGAGAAAATTACCCTTCATGGTAAGGTGAATTTTTATGGTGTAAAAGTTGAAGTGTAATTAACGGTTTTAAGCTGAATTAGGTACTTTGACTTTCTTTTTTTTAACCTGATGAAACAACCGCGGGAGATGTCGTTTGAGTAAATTCGGTTTTCCTGCCAGAAACTTATGTGTCTAGCCGCTTGAGCATCATAAGTGTAAGCTAACATTCTTTAAGCTGCATTATTATTCATTCAAAATATTTCCCCGATTCTGATCGGCTAAAAGCACACGTTTGATTCACCATAACCAGTTACTGATGAACAAAGTTGGAAGAATTTTGTGTTTAGCGGCGATATGATGTCAAAAATGCAGCGTTTTTGCAGGTTAATGCACCGTTAACCGAAAAGACCTGGGGACGAGGTTGAGTTGTTTTGGTTGTGAACTTGAAAAATGGCGGACATTTCACTCGTTTCAAGAGTAAGAACTAGGCGAAAAAATAGCTAAAAACATGGCAGGAAAAGCAAGAACACAACTCGAAGGGCGAGAAATTTTGCGGAGTTTAACAACCCTAAACGTGCACTATCGAAGATGAACTTAACATCGATGGATCGATGGAGGTAAGGCTGCGCACGCCCGCAAATTAATACAGAGCGTTTTATGAACACCTTTGTAAATAGGTTGATTTTTAAGCTCCATTTATTGTAATGACATACTTTTTTTTATTATATATATATGTAGATATTTTTATCATAGTTTTTAATCTTCCGTATTATTGTAACATAAGATATGTAGTTTTATCTTTTGATGAAAAAAGACTCATTATTATTATTATTATTATTATTATTAAAAACTAATAGTTGGATAGAAGAGCATGCACTGTGAGGCCCAAATAGCCAGATTTTGACTACGGAGGCGCAGAGTTTTCCAGAGCTTACGCGCGAGGTCACAAGCGTAAGCACTGGGGTCTAGAATAAGTAGTGGACCGTCCGCGTCCACGTGCGCTAAGCGCGCGCCGCAAAGGCTTAGAGCTAAAGAAAATTGGGGAAACCTATGGATCCGAGATAATTTGGTTATGACGGCAGCGTACGATTGAACGCCGACCGTCCGTATAAACTCTTAAGGTAGGGGTAAAAAAACTCAGGAGAGTAGAAAAAGGAAACCCAGACGTGTATCTTGCGTTTCGTTGTGGCGCAAAATCAATCATTTTAGGAACAACCAATGGGCTTGCTCGAGTAAAAAATTGTAGATTGATTTTTCTTGTGCTCGGCGGACGAAAAAATTTTGCGGAAGAAATTTCTAAGGCTTTGCTTTTTGCTTGGTCACGCTTTTGGTCACGCTCCAGGAACAACCTAGCGTCTCCCCTCCCACCCCTGGTCAACAGTTTGACAGTTGAATTCATGCGGGCAAACTTATTCAGAAAACTTTTGTTCGCCGACAGACTACTTACCGGCAACTGAAGCCTTCTTTTGCATTTCATTAAACTAAAGTTTTAAACTTATCCTGTTTTTGCAGAGCTGCTGCACTATGAAATAATAAATAGATTTAGCTAGGGCTAAAAGCGAATCTCTCGTTACTATACTTATACGTGCAATTTACTCACATACAAACAAAATCTTGTAATGCGGCGACGGAATTGAGAACGGCAAAAAAAAACAACGCAAACAAGAACAGCAAGAACAATAGGTCTAATTAGCAAAAAAAACCAAAAACTTTGCACGTGAACGCACTTTTTTTGCACATTTCTTTATCGTTTTTGTTCCGCGACTACAACGTGAAACCTTTCTAGTCACACGTTTTGCAGCTGTTTAGTGATGCAGACGTATTGGTAAGAATTTTTTCCAAGACTATTACTGCAATCGGATTTGATTTATATTTTTTCCTTTTTTTGTTAATCAGTTAAGTATAAATTTCTGGATATCTTCCTATAGGTTGAAGCTTATTCTTTTTAAGTTTTTTGGTTTTAAGTAATTAAAAGTATATAAATGGAAGCTTCGCTTTTAGCCATGACTAAATCTATATTTTGGTTCTGACTTTTATCGTGTTAGAGAAACTTGTTTGTTGTCTCTCAATGTAAGAACCGTTCTTGTGTTCTTCACCTCATTCTTTTTGGGTATTTTATGACCAGTGCCGTGGCAACCGTTTTAAGTATTTTATTTGTACATAATTTGCCGCGCTTATCCCGGTTTCCTTATCATGAAGCATGGCTGGGAGTATCCACCATTTTCACATAGACCGTACTGCACCTTGTTTATCCCACAAAATTTTGCATGACCATTGTCTTCGATTTCTCTTGGGACAACTGTATTCACCGAGGAGAAATAGGGAAAAATAGTTATGCAAAAATTTGGCGGGTAAACGAGGTGCATTATGGGCTATGTGAAAATGGAGAATAGACCTTTTTACCGATACGGCGGCCATATTGAATTAATTCGATTTAAGGAGTATTATAGGATGCCCAGGGACATGAGCACATTTCGTTTGTATTTTCGACCGCTTTTCGGGACATTTTTCCTTAAAGTCTTGTTAGAATAAGATTCTAATGGGAAAAAGATCCTTGTGCCGTGTTAGGATGTAATAATGATCGCCTTTTTCCCGAGAAATATACAGTGAAAGACCATATTACTAATACTAAACTAGAAAAAGGCAATCTAAGATAAAACGTCCCGAAAAGCGCTCGAAAATACAAACAAAATGTGCTCATGCCCCCTGGGCATCCTATAATACCCCTTAAATCGAATTAATTCAATATGGCCGCCGTATCGGTAAAAAGGTCTATTACCACTTCCTCCCTGGACAGGTTGTCAGTCCACCGCAGGGTTACCCCCTAAACAGCTTTAAGTATCTCACGCGGTCTCCGCAATAATTCTTTTTCGAAGGCAAGACCTAATGAGTTTGCCCATGTTCCTTGTAAATTATTTTATAACACAACGGATGTCTCCAAAAATCAGTCACTCATTTTACAGCGAAAAGCATAATTTTCCTAGCCATTAAGACAAGCATTGCTTATTTCAATTTATAGAGAAGCCGAAGATAAGGATTCCGTTGTCAGTAGTACGCAGTGTAGCAGAGCATTATACCTGGTTCATGCTGGAAGGCACTCCACCCATTCAAGCTTGGTTAGCCAACTCATCTACACCTTTGGAGGGTGGGCCAGTGGTGAAAGGACTTAAATTCGTTCAGACTGGAAACTATACAATTCTGGCAAAAAGTGATGCAGGAAATAGTTCCAAAAAGGTTGACGTTAACGTTATTGGTAAGGTTTTTGTCTCAAAGTTAACATGATAATATGTCGAACCATATTTCAATACCAAACTGTGATAACTGTGATATTTTTTGCTCATATTCAGCGTCTTTCCCAATGAAACGAGTCAACTGTGTTGCTTTTGAACGCACCGAGGGTGTATTTTTACAATATAGTAGTTGTCAAGTTTATAGCGTAACTTTATGAACACATTTTGTTTAGAAATCTACTCTTGCAGTTGTCTCATCCGCTTTTCACTTGTCATCTGTTACCTGAGAAAAGATGCATTGATTTCGCAGATTGCACGCATTTATGTCAAAGCAAGGGTCTTTTAAATGGTTCTGAGCAAGTAACCAACCATCATGACTGCAGTGGAGGCAATGCTACATATATTTGGAAGTGTATACCAACAACAACTACTAATTTGTAA